CTTGACATGAGTTAATATCTAATTACAAAACCTTCAGAGAATCGATTAAATAAATAATGAATTAATACTCATTAATTAATAACTTTACAATGAAGTTTCAAACAGTTATATTTAAATAAAGTGAATTGTTAATATTTTTCAATGATAAAATAAAAGATCCCATAATAATATGGAATGATAATCTCAATTTGTCGACCCTAAAATACAAAGGTACATAGATACATATAATTAGTTTCCAATCCAATAAGCTAGTGATCTATTGCATAATACAATATTTGAATGTTCTAATATCGATTATTGAGTATATACTGTTAAGTAATCGAAAATAATATAAAAAAACTGAGTTCATAAAACCTATCTAGTGATTTGAATAAACTTCTATTCCATATTAATGAATGATGGACTCTCTTTTCTAATTGAATAAATATTGAATTATACTGAATAAAATTATGAAATAATCCATATAGAAGACAACGGTTAAGTGTACATCTAGGAAAATTAATATTTACGATAGATTGCATTGAAACACTTCAATAATAAGCTAATCAAAGTAGCAATAATAATAATAATAATCTAGAAATGTTAATGAAATGTGACATAGTTAATAAGTCACTTGAAAGTTAATTTTCTAACTTAAACTAGTTAGTCACTTACCATGTGGGGGGGGGAGTGGAACTGATTAAACTGTAGTTAAGATAAACATAATTATTTCTGGTTAGTGTAACTTGTTATCATGTCCGCTTATTAGTTTACATATTTTTAGTGTATAGATACGTATATGAATACATTAAGTCATACTACTTATAATAGAATATGAAGTAGTTCAATGAAAAGGAAACTATATATATATATAATAAAGTTTCTTACATTACCAAAAAACAGTAGAATTATTGAGTAGTTTTAATAGTAAAACAAGTAGATACATTGTAAACTACTTTAAATAAATATGAATTATTAAGTTTCACTTGATGTACATTAGAAGGAAAGCTTTTTGTCGTATGTTTACAAATTTAAAAACAATTCAGCCTTAATTTGTGAAAATTATACTTGAGATAATGTCAGTGATTAAAATTGAAATAATTCCAACGTTTCGTCCAGTTAACTTGTCCGAACTTCTTCAGCGTAACAATCAATCATAACTATACTGTGTTAAACCAGTCATATTTGTAAAATAGGATAACATGAGTCAATTACATGGTAATCATGTGAAAAGTTCACGACGTCGATATAATTAACTAAAAAACGAATTGTATGTATGCATATATGTGTGAAAGTATGTATGTATATGTAAGATTAAGTTATTAATTATTGATATTTGGTGTTTATATGAAGGAGTAAATAAAAGTACAAGGTTGAAAAATTGTTTCTGAATCATCGATGTGCATGTCAATTTGCAAATCATCAAATACATAATTGTATTGCATAAAAAAACTCATGAATTTCAGTCAAAATAACGAGCGGCCTGCTTGCGCATCTGAGCTACCTGTTCCTGTCATCTAGATATTTCAACAAGTTATAGATTTTTGTTTGTTTTAATACATCATTATGTTTATGAATCGCATAACCTATCCTGCTGCGTTTCTGAAAAGTGTACAACCTTTCGTTGTCAAAATTACAAAAAACTCAATAAGAGACAATGTGGTTGCTGACAATATACAACGGAAAGAATGCACATTATTCAGATGTTCATTTAGTGAACTGCTAACATCTAACTGGCGATCACTCAATATTTATCGCCAAGACCGACCAAGAAGAAAGAAACGGAAACTTGTTGAAATACTTTGCGCTGAGAATTCTATATTGTGCCAAAACTATAATATTGAATAAAGCAGATAATAATGATAATGATGCACATGAAATAACACAGGTTGAACAAATAAAGGTTCCAAGCTCCTTGTCAACAAATATTTGCCAGATAGACTCATGTTATCTTATTTTACAAAAATCAATATCCAAACATGATTGGATTAACACAGTATAGTTATGATTTTTGGTTGAGATCATGAGTCAATTGATGTTAGACCACCGTTGGAAAAGGTGGTTCACAACCCTCATACTGATAGTTATGATTGTTAAAAGCTATATATTTCTTTGATGATTTTCATTTTGATTATTACCCTGAAGAAGTTCAGGCAAGTTAACTGGACGAAACGTTGGAATTATTTTAAATTTCAATCGATGAGATTAGTTCAAATATAATTTTCACATATAATGACTTCTCTATATTCGGCACTCAATTTCTGTCAGACTATTCGTTCTAATCTTGACGAATATTTCTATAAACTTAGCTTTGATTTTATGTTTTACAATCTTATACTTATCAGATGGATAAGAAGTACATTTGATATGTCTATTAATATCAGAAGGGGTTTTGTGGATATTATAGTTGAGATCATGAGCCGATATTCAAAGTTAGCAGTTTTCAACTCAGGACTATTAGATCTAATCATGTTATATGTCTTTGAATTATTAACAAGTTTTACATGTTTAATGAATGTTTTTCTTAATTAAGCTTGATAAATGGTAATGATGATGTAAAGAATAATAGTACAGGAAAATAGATATTAAATATTATCTTATTGAGATAATGAACCGATTAATGTTAGACCACCATTGATAACCTGGGAGCACTGGACGGCCGTTTCGTCCCATTGTGGGACTCCTCATCAGTGCGCATCCACGATCCTGCCCACGGAATCCGAACCCAGGGCCTTCAGTCTCGCGCTCGAACGCTTAACCTACCGGATCACTGAGCTGGTATCCAATGGTGTTAATGTCTAACCTTTCAGGTTTTCAATGGTGGTCTATCATCAATCGGTCCACGTTCTCAATCAAAAACTTAACAATCTCCACAACCCCTAAACAAATATTATCTTAGTTAAATTGAAGTTCTATGAAAGAAAGATGTTGCTTAATTGAATTCAACTGTTAACCATTGAAGTTATTCATTTACATTCAAGATAAAACAAGGAGAATGTTTATCAAGAATATTTTCATATAAAGTAAATATAATGATGATGTCTAACCGATAGATCTGAAGTATTTTGCGAGGACAACTCCGCTTAGAGCCCTCTTGGGCTACTGCCAGTCCCAAGCCCCGATAAAGGAGGAGGGTTGTGCATTGGGTTAGCGACCCCATTTAGTAGAAAACTAATTCGCTAAAAAAACGCTAACCAGAAAACAATAAACGCTCCTTAATAAACACAAATTGAAAGGCAGAATGACTAGACAGGAAAATTGATATTTCGTAGGTCATCTACCAGACACTAGAACTAATACATTAGTATTATGCTTACGTATTCAAAATAAAACTATCATATGTTCGAACGGATTAAAAGCACAATAGAATTGCAGTTATTGATAAGAATGACTGACCTACTTAATTTTTTGGGATGTAATAAATGTACTCATGACAATTTGAAGGTCTGAATTAACCGATTGAAACACGCATTACTTCATCTTATTATTGACGGAATTAGTACCTAGTAATTTATTTTATGGCTCAAATCTACTAATTTTTTTTTAAATATTCCATCATATTACACTAGGTAATTTTACATGGGGGTAAACATACATGACCTTTTTTACCACTGAATTTCATACACTCCGACTATAGCTCGTGGGACAACTCGAACACTCACCGATAATAATATAAACATCTCATTTGTTGGAAAAGTTAATGGCTATCTAGGCCTTGTAGCTCAGTGTGTAATGCATTTAGTGTCTGATCAAGAAGTACTGGGTTCGAGTCTGAGTGCGAATATTGATACTGAGAAGCAGACATATTGAACCCTGTTGAGTTCAAATTAGGATGAAATATGCTTTCTGTATTATGATACTAGTCATGATCCATCTATTTTAAATAACTTTGTCTTGTTTTATAGTTTCTTTTACCAGATACATTTAATATTTCAATCCTTTCTAGTCATTATCAATTAATATAATACAAATTTAATTGATTTAGTTACTTTTGGTTTTATTTCAATATAAAGTAGATGTAACAGGCCACAAATTAAAGCAGACATTTTCGAGTAGATGTTTTATTTTCATAACCATGATAAATGAAATAAACAATCAAGTAGCTTTGTGAAAATCCTATATGATGCAATCATAACTGATGAATTTCACTTAAACGACAGAAATGTTTAAGTTCAGGAAAGAAAAACGACATAGGTATAAGAGGTTTTTGTATATTATTGACTGAGTTTAGAAATGCGACATATTGAATGACAATCATTATTCTGGTAGTTAGGCTTTAACCACGAGAACTGAAGGCTCTGAGTTTGACTCACGATCTGACATGAATTTACGCCGCTCAGGAGTCCCACATTATAACGAAATAGCGCTAACATAAAATATTTTTTAATTGATTCCTGGTTTCCGAAAATTGTGTAATTAAAGTCAGTTCATATTGTAAACCACGAAAGAAAAAGTAACAAATGTATGAGTTTTTAGATAAATCTCATAAATAATAAACTACTGATGTTCTAATAAACATATTTACTGGTGAATGTTTTGAAGTACTAGTTCATTAGACAAAAAATAACAGTATTTAAACCTATGAACTGTCATTGATTACATAGTGAAACGAGTCAAAGTTTAAATTTATGAAAAACATGTATACAAATATATCCAAAGAGTACGAAGATGTTAGTGATGTCATTTGGACAGTAATTAAAAACGTGGAAGCACTTCAGAGTTATTTTATTCTAATCTACAATCCGTCAGCAGTGTATATCCACAGTCATATCCTAGGACAAACTATTCGCCACAAATCACGCAACTGACAGAAACTTCTATCGATTGTAGCCTTATTCTTTTATTAATTAATTACTCTGTACAACAACTAAAGGAAATGAAAACTATTCTCATAACTCAGCATCGAAAACTGAAGATAAACTACTAATTAAAGTCACATGTGTTTGACCAATGTTTCTGTTTATGGCTTTAGTCAGAATTCACACCTTTGCTTTCATTTATGCCTTGATTTATACATACAGGTAATAGCTAAGGACAGTGCACCAGAACCATACACATTAACAGGTACAGCTATTGTTGAAATAATGCTTGCTGATGAAAATGATGAAACTCCACAGATAAATGTTATGCTGTTACAGCCAAATTCTCCTCATGATACTTCTCCGACAAATCTCTATCCATTTCACTCAAATAAAATTAAACAAAACTCAGATGGTGCGAAATTGTTACGTGAATTTACAACAACGATAAATGAGAATCCTCAGCCGGAAACAGTAATTGCTTATGTTCAGGTATTTATTTTCATTACTATTATGTTGCGCTTATTTAAATAACATTTGTGATCGATATTATCATTACTTTTTAAAAACTAATGAGTTTACTTATTAGTTATTCCAAAGGCAATAAGTTGGATTAATAGACGTTATGATGATTAATAACTTATTATCATGAGTTCTACAAACCTTTGTCAGTATACCGAACGACTCTGAATATCAACGAACAAGTTTAGATTTAAAGACCCAGAAACTAGGCGAATATGATTTGATCACTCGATTACTTTACATGGTGTGTTTTCTTTTAGTTTACACACTATAATCATAGATTTATAATACAATGTCTAGTTTTTACCATATAATTAAGTATCCTTTCCAATCAGGATAGATTTATAATCGTGTTAGAATCACACAGTCATTTTAAATTCTAGAATACTTTTATATATTTGGCTAAGTTTTATTCTCTTTATTGAACCATTAAGCTTAGAAAATCAAACTCTACCAAGAATCATTCGTCTGAGCTATAAACCTTCACTTCTATGTTTTCTTTCCAATCTGTTCAATGTTCAATATCTTGAGACTATTGTAATATTGTTTAAATTTTAAAGTATATTATTGAATGTTGTTTTTGAATTTCTAGTCTCTTTCAGACTAGAATGTTTTTGCTTGCTAATTAAAATGTAAAAGTATAAAGAAAGAATAATTAATAAATTTTATTTGTTAAGAGAGAATAATTCTGTTTTTGCTTTCAATTAATTATTAATAAATTTTGTACAGTGAAGTAGATAACTAATTGAAATTTTGATTTGAAATCGAATTCAAGAGAATGGATGATATTTGACGAACATAATATAATCATAAGGGATTTTTGTGGATATTGTACTAATTTCAATAGCTAAACCATCATGGAAAACCTGGAAGCACTGGAAGGCTGTTTAGTCATATTGTAGGACTCTTCAGCGGTGCGCATTCACGATTCCGCCCTGCGAGATTCGAACCCAGGACCTATCAGTCTCGCATGCGAGCGCTTAACCAACAGACCACTAGAACTGGCCTTTATCTAATGGTGTTAATGTCTAACTTCGACTAATCCACGAAATTGGGCGACCTATCCACCATTGTCTTCAGTGAGTTACTACCTCACAACAGACCCCACTGAATATCATTAGTCACTGCTTCTCGTTAGAACTCCAGGATATACCTCTTGAAGCCAGTCACTGGTGAGAATATATTGATTAATATCAGGAATTTTTGTGGATTCTAAGTAATAGGTCACTAGGTTTATAATACAGTGAAATTGTAAATTTCATTGAATGTTTTTTTATAAATTAGTGTTACTTTGATTATCATCTTCCCATTAGTGATAGTCAAGCTCTCTTGATCCTGAAAAATATATACATAATGTTGAGTAGATTTTTGATAATGACATTATTTATTGTCATGAATAGTGGTGCCTATATTTTATCTTAATTTTTAGGTATTTGACCCGGATCATCATGGACAAGATCATATTCACTGTCGTCTGGGTCCGACAGACAACTTCACCTTACAGTATGATCCATCATCATCACCAACATCATTGTCATCAGTGTCATCAACGTTGACTTCAACGGGGAGCAATTCCTTGTTATATCTTACAAAACGTAATCCTTTATATGAAAACTCATTACAACGATCACTAACAAATACTGTACAAAATAAACAAGATTATCGTTTAATAACTGGAACACGGTTAACAGATCTGTCATCTCCATATTCACGTTTAGATCGTGAAGTAACTCCAACACAAACAATCACTTTAACATGTACAGATAGTGTAGATAATTCTGCTTATGTAATAATTAATGTACACTTAGCTGATTTGAATGATAATTCACCAGAATTTGTAAATAATGGTCACTTTGTATTTCAAATACCTGAAAATCAAGAATTACCTGGTAATAAACCAATTTGGCTTGGACGTACAATTGCAGTGGATAATGACCAAGGTGTAAATTCTTTACTTACTTATCGTTTAGAAAATGATGAAAATATGGTAAATAGATACGAAAATAAAGAGTATGGTATTACTGATAATGACAATATCCCACAGATTACTCATAACATTAATAATATGTTTGAATTAAATCCACAAACAGGTGATTTATATGTTAAAATTGTATTTGATCGAGAAACAGCACCAAATGATGGAGTATATCGATTAAAAGTATTATGTATTGATAATGGTGAACCATCATTAACTGGAACAGCTCAGGTTGAAGTTTTTATTTTAGACGAAAACGACTGGCCTCCACAATTCACACGTGAAGTGTACACATTCAGCGTACCAGAGAATATGAGAATTCATGAAATAGTTGGTGAGGTTGAAGCTATAGATCGTGATGCAGATAGTAAAGGGAAAATAACTTATCAGTTGATTACACATTCATATCAACCGGTAAATGAAATATCTGACTGGGCGTTACCATCATCGAACCAATATAATTCACGTAGATTACATTCACGTGCACCTGGAAATAAATTAATTGTAAATGATAGAATATCATCAACAGTAGAAAACACTGAGTCAAATAGTACTTCAAATAGTGAACTGACTAGAGATAAGCAGTTGAATAAAACAGGTAAACAGTCTCTTGGAATAATGGATCCAAGTACACAACAAAATGAATCAAAAAAGACAACTTTTTCAAACTTAACAAATGAACTGTCAAGGAATGACATAAGACCAGTTAAACAAATAAATTATTCACATTCTGATAAATCACTAACTTTATTGAATTATTTTGCAGTTGATCGTTTAACTGGTAAAATACGTCTTATACGTGCATTGGATCGTGAATCGGTAGCATTTTTTACCATAGAAATTGTTGCCATTGATTCTGCTCCAGTTTCACCGATTATATCATTACGTCAGATAAACAGTATGATGTCTACATCAAAGTTGAATAATGGTAATAATAATTTCACATTAAAAAATGCATATAACACACCTGTACATAAATCGTTGTCATCTACTGCTACAGTTGTAATTGCTGTTACCGATATTAATGACAATCCTCCAGTATTTCGTCGACCAAATACATCAACTGCTATTCAGCTTAGTTTACATGAAACACTAGGCAGACAATTGCTTACAATGGAGGCAACTGATGCAGATGAAGGAGAAAATGCTCGAATCACTTATCAAATACGATCAGAAGTCCCACGACCGCCTGGTGGTTCAGGAACTGGACATTTTGCTATTGATGAATCAAGTGGAATGTTATTCATAGCCAGGTATAGTAACGTTTATTGGCTTGGCCTATATTTGAGTTGAGTCTTATGAAGTATAAATGATGTCTTGTCAAAATCTTAAAATATTTACTGGGCAACAGTCAGTCATACAAGTGAACATGTTTATATTTCTAGCCAGTTTCTCAATTTAAACACAATGAGAACTAATGTTAATTTGAGAAATGTAAGAAAGACTCTACAGAAGTGGGAAGTTAACAGATTACACAAATTACAAACATTGTAATCACGTTAAACTTTACTGATAAAAGTAATAAGGTTCTATTAGCTAAATTACGGGTTATAAATTACAGCATTTAGTTTTATGCACCGCTAAATCATTAATATTTAAAACATTAATTGACTTGCCGTTGGATATTAGGTAATTTTCAATGTTTGTCTTAGTAATATCTGTCAGGGATGCTACTTTACTTTTAGTGCCGTAGTAGTTATTCTATGGGTTTAATAATTGTTCAAGTTATTGTTCATTAACATGGATTCAAATGTTATTCAAGAGAAAGGCTTAGACACTGGATGATATTACCACTACCATTGTTGATACGGTGCCAAATTGTTTAAATCATAAATTATTTCATGGTTTTTACTTGGTAACGAGATGAAGCTTGGGATAGAATCAACTCAGTAATTCCATATAAAGATACCGATAGCATCAGTATGCTTTAATGCTTCAAGTTAGCTAGTTTCAACAAGCAATCAAATTGGATAATTATATGAATGACTTAATAGTAGTTAAAATGAGAAGTGGTAAAAAACTGTTTAGATTTTAAGAAAACTTCCCAAATAAAGAATATACTAGTTTAAACGACAAGAACACTACACTTATAGGGTACATCACGATATGAAACTCGTTTATCGAACTAGTGAAGTACTGGATGGTACTAGAAGTACAGTTTGGAGGTGAAAGAAAACTATCATTTAATAAAAATGATCAGACTGGCTGGATGTGATTTAGTATTGAAGTCAGTTTCTTGAATACTGGTCACTCGTAAAAGTGAGTATTTGATATATGATTGATACAAACTGGCTGATGATATTTAAAACACTTACTAACTCTGATAAGTTTCGTTAATGCAATGAGAAGATGAAGGTTATCAGAGTTATGTCATCTATTTACGCAATATATTTCGAACAATCTGAACACATATACTTGTCAAGACATTTTATATGAAAAAAATAAAAGGTCAACTAGACAAATTAAAGGGTAAGCAGAATCATAAATAATAAAACTTTGCACGAAAACAATGTGAAAACTACGCTGAATAATAAGTCGGTATTACTAGGATAGATTAAGGGTAAGAACAATTTGTTTTTGAACACATGAATGGTGTTTCAGTTTTCGTATAGCCAAGGCTTCAATAAACCTTTGAAAGATTTTGTACAAAACTGCAAACGCTGACTTGATATCAACCTTATGACTGGTCCCAAACAAATGTTTCACAATGGAAGATATTTATCTATCCCATGATCTTATTTGACCATTAGAATTCGTTTATTTTCGTAGTCATTTAGGTATATGTTCAGCCACCTATACTTGCTGCTCACGATTGCTCCTCCCTGTGTACCTGTCCCTGCACATACATGCTATTTAAATGTAGTAAATATTAAACTTTCTCCAGATGATGAGATCAAAAGTAATTAGTTTTATATTTTCAACTTGATCATTTTTATTCCAAAGACCTTTGAACAATACAACTACACATCGATTTGTCGTTGAAGCTTGTGACGGTGGAGCTGGTTCGTCTAAACGCTGTACATTATCTCCAACTATACGTATAAATGTATTTGATGGTTTAAACGAACCAATATCAAATTCAAATGGTGATCTACTTGTTTATCAAACTGGAACAGCAGCGAACAATGATAATTTTCATCAAAATCATAGACAATCAGATTATCATTTGATTTAGATGAATTAACTGTTGGCTCTGTTATGGCTGTACAAAATGGACGACGAAATGAAATTGTTGTTGTTTGTTTGGTTGTGATATTTAGTATATTATTGATGGCAACAATTTTGTTAGTCATATGTTTAATACATAGACGTGGGTTAAGTGCACGTCAATGGATTGGTAATCGTTCTGAAAATCTAGCATCAGATAAACAGGATTGTAAAAAAGATCACAATATGATTAATAAAACGGTTAATAATCGATCGAATATTGACCTATGGATGGAAAACCGTAAGTTGATATTCATTATTATTTCCAAGTAATTTTACTAGTAACATTATTGTTTTTTTTTAATACAAAATGTAATGCTATCGTTATTTCAGTTTGGTAGTACATTCAACGTAACTAATCGTGGTGAACGAGATTTGTTGGATGTGAAAAGTTATCTGTAGGAATCTAAGTTCCAATTATATCTTTCATTAAATACTCAATTAATTGTTACGCTTTTAGTGCGAAATCACTTTCATAGTTAATGTGTTATAAAATATAGCAAATGATTTTAAATGTGGATCATATCGAGATAGACTTTATTCCTTTCTAATGTAATGTTTATCAGACTATAACAAAAGAACTCCCAAGTTACATCATTTAGGTGGTGTTGAGGAAGAAAAGAGAAATACTCAATGATAATTTAGATATGCTATGTGATCAGGAGTAATCTAATGAAAACCTGGATCTTAGTTTCGTGTTACTTAGCACTAATCAGCAATGGGCTCCTGTAAACATAGAGAAACTGATGCTCCGATGTCGAGTCACTTAGACTGGTGACCACATGGCAGCCTGATCGATAGAAATTAATCGGAACCTGAAGGACTAAATAAACGTGATAATAGCCACTATTCAGTGATCAACCAACTACAACTTGGATATGTTAACACCCAAAATATTATTGATTTTCACGAAAATGTCTTGAAGAAAAGTTGACATCTACTTGGTAAAATTGGTTAAATATTAATATTTTGAATCCCGATTTTGACTAAGAAACATTTTCGATAACAATATTTCCATGTACGGGTCGGTAGAATCCAAGAAAATACCATATTACATTCGATTCATACTGGGACGAAACTTGTTACCGGAAGATACTTCAACTCACGAACATTATATCAACTGTTTCATTGAAACAATAACTCAAAACTTAATTCGACTTTGCATGGTGTAACTTAATTATAAGAGATAGATGGTGGCTAGCAGCAGAATCCAGGAGGCGCGTTTCGTCCTATTTAGGATTCGTCTGCTGGACGTAACTGTAACCCAGAGTTGATGTTCACACTGAGAATCGAACTTAACATTAAATTTAACGAAAATGTGTAGAAAATTTAACTTTAAACGTTACTATTACTTTAATCTCTTCTGATTATTACTTATAATATCAAATTATTCAAGTGAAATAGTATACTTGTTAGAATACGCTGTACAAACATTAAAAGAAAATGAACTAGAAACCTGAAACTTCTACACTGTATACTTTGTTTTTCAAATCCTGTTGATGAAGACTTGACATTTCAATGGAATTCGCACACGCTATATATATATATATATATATATATATATATATATATATATATATATATATATATATATATATATATATATATACTATTGCTACGATGCAACTTAACATGGGAATTATTGTTTAGAAATATCAATGTTCAATCCATTTACTATAAGCATATAATATTAGTATTTTCACAGCTGACTATACTATCAAAACAACCATCATTGTAAACTGACATACTATTTTGTTAGAGTTGAGGTATAATTTCTTGAAAATCAAATTAATCCAAATCCAGATATGTTTTAGAATGTTACGTAAATAAACAACAAGTGTAGTGTAGGCATAAAATAGTAGAACCCTTTAATACTAATAATAGTAAGTAGTAGGGGAAAAAATGATTGTTATTATTTCATCATAAATCTCTTCTATGAATAAGATACATATTCATTCATTTACTATAATGTGAATGAATCAACTTGTAGAAAACAAAATATCAATATAGATTTATGAAGAAAATTAACAAAAGTTTGGGAAAGTTAGTAGTTTGAATTTATTGCTTATTACAAATGAACAGGTTTTCCTTTCGTTCCAAAATACATCAAATGTTTTGAAAAATCAAACAAGTTCCCATTCATTTATATTTAATGTAAGATTACTTACTTACGTCCGTTACCCCCAATGGAGTACGGACCGCCGAAAAGCATTCTTCGTCTCACTCTGTCCTCCGCCTTCCTTTCCAGTTCTATCCAATTGTCGTTTATTCTTCTTATGTTTATCTCCGTTTCTCGGCGTAATGTGTTCTTTTTTGGTCTTGAGGACTCTATGTGAGGGCTTGCCTTGTGACACAGTTGGGTGGTATCCTCGATGTGTGTCCTATCCACTTCCAGCGCTTTCTCCTGATTTCTTCCTCCAGTGGGATCTGGTTTGTTCTCTCCTACGATAGGCTGTTGCTGATAGTGTATGGTCAACGGATCTGAAGTATTTTGCGTAGACCACTGTTAATAAACACTTGTATCTTCTAGATGATGGTTCTCCAAGTTTCCGCCCTATACAGTAGAACTATTTTGACACTTGTATTGAAAATCCTGACCTTGGTGTTGGTTGACAGTTGTTTTGAGTTCCAGATGTTCTTCATTTGTAAATATGCTGCTCTTGCTTTGCCAATCCGCGCCTTTACATCCGCATCAGATCCACCCTGTTCATCAATGATGCTGCCCAGATATGTAAAGGTTTTTACATTTTCAAAAGCTTTTCCGTCAAGTGTGGCTTGATTGGTGAATGTTTTGTTGTATCGTAGAATCGTGCTTTTCTCTTTGTGTATGTTGAGACCTACTGCTGCTGAGACTGCTGCTAAACTGGTCGTCTTCTGTATTTGTTGTTGCGTGTGCGATAGAAGAGCCAGATCATCTGAGAAATCTAGGTTGTCCAGCTGCATTCTAGCTGTCCATTTAATGTAAGATACATGCACTGAAATTTCAAACTGAATTAGAGTTAAAGTTTATCTGTTGTTTACAACAGTAACTAACGTCATGATGATATACATCAATGTCTAAATTGTTTTTGTTCTTCAACAAGGTGATTTCCGTAGTCCTAGAAATTAATCTCGGTCAAATGTATTATATTGATATAGTTCAAAACTTACAACTCCTCAGCATTATGGAGATTCGAAATAATTTGAATTTCTGTGTGCAAAATAACAAGCAATTGTTGTGAATTAATTTAATTGAAATAATGGATAAGCATTTCCCATTACATACCAGTTTCGCTTAGTGTCAGTCATTTATTCAATCATAATGAGCTGATTTAAATATGTATTACCCAAAGTTACTAGATCACATCAATATGATGTAATAAAATTACTATGATGATGAAATAGCAATAACAGTGGGAAAGATTAAATATCCAGAATATTTTTCAAGTAGTCTAGACAAAAATATATGTGTGAAAGAATACTGGACTAGAACTTAAGATCCATAATAAGATAGTAAGTAAATATATCTGTTTCACTTTTTCTGATTCTTATGTATCACCCTACATCTTAAACTGCCGATATGGATTATCATCTAGACCTTAATTGCATAGTTTGCATCTACAATAGAGCTCAGACTAACAGTTAAAGACTTCATAAACTGTTGCGTCTACAGTTTTCACTAGATTTCTCATAAACAAACATTATGATGATCAACATGATACGGTTCCGAAAAATAAATGTTGTGAAATAACATTTGATAATACTGAAAGTGTTCAATGAAAGTCTATCAATAGACGTATGTTAGAAACTAGGTAATAGATTAATAGAACTATTTTTCAGCTCACTTTGATATAAATTGATTTTCATTCTTTCACACAGTCGGATCAATCGAATAAATTCGAAGAGGTTTTATGTTTGTTTTATTCTGAAATACAACAACTAGACATTTTAACTTACTGAACTGAACAAAATAGTGCTAATCAGACGAATAATAAATTAAAACATACCATTAACCAATAAAGTAAAACATATGACTTCATAAAATAATTTACTTTATATAAGTTTAATTGAAACATCGACCGATTTTAACACTGTTAATTTATTCAGGATGTAAGCAACTCTTTTCCAAGCCAATTATGATTAAACTGAAATCAGCTGCTGACAAATACTTGAATAAGATGCCGGCTCAGTGGTCTAGTGGTTAAGTGTTCGCGTGCAAGACCGATAGGTTCTAGGTTCGAGTCCCGCGAAGCGAGGCCACGGATGCGCGCCTCTGAGGAGTCCCGCGATAGGACGAAACGGCCGTTCAGTGGTTCCAGGTTTTCCATGATGGCGTATATTCAATTAACTCATGATCTCAACTAATGAAAGATACTTGAAGATCAATAGAAATTAAGAAACACTAAGTGGTTATTCTGTCTTATTTGTATTTATTTAAAAGTTAAGACATATAGAATGGGTGACTGTTCTCATGTTTTATAGTAAATAAATTGAATTTGTGATAGTAATCTTTTAATTTTACTTCATGAATTAAATGCTATCTTGTATATGAAATTATAAGAAAAAGAATTCATCGAAGAAAATTTTCTTTACGACGTAATCGTTTACTTAAGCTATACATTCGTATTTATAATTATATGGAAAATATATGTCAGAAGGGGTTTTGTGGAGATTTTAGTAATTTCAATAGTTGAAATCATTGGTCAGTTGAAGCTAGACCACCATGGAAGTTAGACATTATCACCATTGGATGCCAGCCAGCTCAGTGGTTCAATGGTTAAGCGCTCGCGCGCGGGACTGATAGGTCTCAGGTTCTAATCTAACGAGAGGGGATCGTGGGTGCGCACTTCTGAAGAGCCCCGCAATAGGAAGAAACCTCTGTCTAATGCTTCCAGGTTTTCCATGATGGTCTAGCTTCAATTGACTCATGATTTTAACTATTGAAAATGTATGTCTATAGGACGATATGAAAGATAACGTCACAAAATG